AGCAGAAGCTTTGATTTCTGTGATGCGTTCTATTTCGTTGTGGTACTATCCACTGGGAATCTTCCAGGTCCAGCGCTGAGCATAGGGCTTCTGTAATTGCGAGTTCAAATGGACTTCGTCATCAGGATGATTAGCCGCTGTTCGTTCCATTCTAATACATGAGTCCCAATGCGACGTTCTTCAGACATTTTTCTTGGTCCAATCTTGGCGTCGATATCTCCAATGATTACCTTGAAGAATGTATGGTCTTCTCTGTAGAGCTTCTCCAAGTCCATATAGAACGCTTCGACTTCTTCTTCGTAACAGTTTGATATCGGGGCGTAAACGACGAAGATTGTCAAGGCCGGAATTGTTTCACGTCTTTTTAATCGTAAACGTCCGATTCGGGTTGTAAGCTGTTCGACTGAATCGATGTTCATGGACAAACTCGTGTTCACGAGAACGCCAACGTCGCCGACTCCACTACTGTCGCATGTTCCGAGGAACAGTTCTCCGGTGTCATAGACGGCGTTGAATGGGTGACATCGTCTCACCCGGCTAGACCGATGAAGTCGTCCCTTATCCTTCTCGCTTGCATGGTCAAGCCTTCTATCGAGGACTCGGATGCAAGTGTAGGTGCATTGCAGGTACAGATCATCCCCTTAGTCCTTTTCCGTTTATGCGGCCTAAAATATCTCTGACATTCTAGCAGGATCTTTTTACTTCTCGCCTTACGCTGCCGTATCAGAAGCTCCTTCCGACCCAGGAAGATGTGACCCGTATACTTTGTTGTGTTTAACTTCTGTTACCGGCGTATACCTTGCTGAGCTGTGAACACGTAGGTTGGGTATACTGACGCGTGGTTTGCCAGACTTTCTCAGAATATACGAGCAGCTTATTTATTGCTGGCAACCCCTAACCGCCTCCCATATACTTCCCTTCTACTCGATTGCAGGCTTTTAATCGAATTGACTCGTAGAATGCAGTTCTTACAAACGAGAAGATACCCATGCATGCATGCATGAATACGCCTTGTAAATACAGAAATTATGTGCCAAATCGGCTCAGCAGAAACACGGAGTCTCCCGTCTGGATCCACTTGCGTCTCAGGAAAGGAAAGGTCACTTTAGGTCCGCGATTAACCCCCTATCCGCCACCTGGGGACGCGCCATGTAGCCTCGCGCCTAAGCGGCATGAGATCTCTCTGTGGGGAGGTCCGTGGTGGTCGCTCATACCAAGGTTAAATGGAGGCCGGTTTGCAATAGTATTACTTCTATGTTTTTCTTTTCTGGTTTTCTTCTCAATACTGTTGCCGAACTCTTGGAAAGTGGTATGTGTTTGTAGAGGTTGCTCCACACTTTGTAGAATGGCAAAACCTTGATTTTGTAGTTGTTTTATTGCTCTTGAAGGATTATTAAATGTTCGGTTTAAACATCGTGATTGTGAAACGCTTCCGTACTAGTTTGCTCTTGAATATAATCACGGACCTTCCTTAAGATAAGCCAGTGTTATGTGCATCTCGGATTCCGTAAACCGTTGAAACGTTAACCGAAAACAAAGAATATTATCAACCTCGTGAAATCTTATCAAGGAAAAAATACATGCTAAGGATTCTATTGCTTGCATAGCCCTTATTCCATGTGACCCGTCGAGCTGGACCCTCTGGACCAAATTTTGGCAATTAATGTCGTTTCCGAAAGGAACCAATTGACTACTACTTAGCGTTGAGAGAGAGCACCAGTAAATATAGCGAGTGTCATCCAAAGTCGTTATTGAGCTTTGTCTGTCTTTTTGGTTGCTACTTGAGATTTTTTCTTATTTTGCGAATGTCGTTGGATACTGGTCAAAGTGATTTTACTTGAAATCTCTCGGCAGCCATGCATTCCCAGCTCTTCGTCACATGCAGTCGCTAACCTTTCGTGAAATACAGTGAAAGAGTAGTTTCCAGACATGGTTGGTCGCAAATTCCCGATCCAGGGGAAATAGGAGGCTGGGTTGACCCAGTGCAGTGTTGAGCCAAGGCCTCACGCGTATTGAATGTCACTCCCACAGTGTCACCTGTGCCACATATATATAATTGAAAAACTTTGGCATGAAACTATAGTGCAAAGAAAGTCTAGGACGTGAACTGTGATAAAAAATCGCCAAAATCACGAAGAATGCCGGTAATCATGTGAAGAGCACAAGTGTTTTTCAATGTCACAATTATGAGGGAGTTTGTCATGTTAGTCAATCATGAAAATACGAGTTTATGCTCTATTTGTAACTTGATATTTAATTGATAGCTATCTATAAAGGGTCATGAGTATTCCAGCACAATCCTCTCTGACGTAAAGTTTTGTGAGTAAGCAAGATTTCTTTCAATGACGACAGAGATAACTGTGTTACGGCTCTACTGTTATGTGAGCCACAGGTAGTCGTTGTTCGCTTGAAGTAGAGTTGATGACAGCCATTATGAAATTCATTCATTTCTCGTTCGACTTCCAGAATGGAAAAGTCGAGCTCTTTTTGTGAGTACACGAGAGGATGAACTCTCCTAACCGCGTACTGCAATTCTACATCCAAAAAAAGCTTCCTGGAATTTATAACGGGCTGGTAAAATATTTGTAGCACTGAATAATGGTTGAAAAAACATAAATATTTATCACTGAAATAGGGGCGAGTGCGGCGCAGTGGTTGGAGGTGCCACTGAGACACATATGTAGAATCGATCCCGGTGCCCATGGCCTACCAAGCCTTTCATCCCTCCGGGGTCAGCAAATTGCTACGAGACTTGTTTGGGAGGATAGCAGAACTGGCTCGATACATCGGTAGTCCACCGCGAGTCATTGTAAATGCCAGATATGCACTCAATCACCTCCAAACGATGTTTAATGAAGTCGAATGCATGGCGCATCCCTCAGGGATTGAGTAACGCCGAGAGCTTTGTGCTTTATTTTTATCTTTCTACTTCTGTTCAGCAAACACGAGGTGCTATTTTATTTCTTTACTTACGCACAAGCTGACGTTTCGGCGGATTTCGCCTTCCTCAGAGCCGCTTTCTATGAGTCTTCCACTGAGTATATCGCGTGAAGACCGACCGCACAGAATTCACATGGAAGCGTAATGTCTTTATTTTTATGATTGAAATACATTAAAAACGGCTGTGTATGATTAGTGAAAAACGTAGAGGGTTTTTAAATATGTCGCTGAAAGTGGTGGACCGTGGTCTTTCTGTTCGTTTCATCGAGGTGTTTGACTGACATGATTGTAGTGGACTTGGCTTTCCCAGATGGAAAACGAAATCCTCCGAAACGTTAGATGTTGTGAATAAATAGCATGTAATAACAACCTTGCAAATATTTATTAAAAAAATAGTAAATCATATATCAATGCCGAGGCTAACAGAAAGTCGGTATTGGGAATAACTTCATAAAATTTTTCTGTGTCATGAGCTGTTACAAATTTCAGCCGTCATTCGATTCACTCCGCCCCCTCTCCTATCCGGATGCTGACGTATTCGTTATCGTCTACTCAGTAGTTGATCCACAGTCCTTCACAGAAATCTCCGCTCATTGGTTTCCGGAAGTTATTCGAGGGAACCCTGTGGCTCAAGGTTAGTTCAAATGCAAGAGAAAAAGCTTGAGGACGACAACAATATCATACCCAGCTATGATGTTTAAGTGATTTTGCAGGCTGTAAGGAAAGCCTTTTGGTCTCAAAAGAATCTCAGAAAGAATCAAATCAAGCTTTCCAAAATACAAATAGCATTAATAAACAATTAGAGTGATGGTCCTATCTTTAGTGCTTTAAAAAAAACTTCTACCCTAGGTTGAGGATGAGCTACGAGTAACAACGAGTTCTTCCTGGCGTAAGAGTAACTGTGGAGATGTTGTATCAACTGTTTTCCGTTCATGCTTAAGATCGATTTCAAAAAAAGATACCAAGTTTTTAAATATTATATTACTGATTTCGCTAATGTGGATACGTAGGTCTACTTGGTTATTAAATATTGCAGAAGCACATAACAAGAACACAGTGGCTATCGCTGACAAAAATTCTAGAAATATCAAATATTCACGCACACCCTTTTTTAAGAGTCTAGATGAGTACATGGTCCTGAAAGCTTCAACGTTTACCGATTGTTTGTCGATTAGATTGATCAATCCCTGAGGGATGCGCCATGTATTCGACTTCATTAAGCATCGTTTCGAGGTGATTGAATGCATATCTGGCCTTTACAATGATTCGCGCTGGACTATCGATGTATCGAGCCAGTGCTGCTATCTTCCCAGACAAGTCTGGCACCAAATTGCCGACTCCGAAAGGAAGGAAGGCTTGGTGAGCCATGGGCGCGTGGATTGATTCCACGTGTGTGTTGCAGGGCGCCTCCTATTACTGCGCCACACGCGCCTTCCGTTACTAGAGCACTGAAAAGTACAGTTTAATATTTTCACAAAATGATACCAATTAGAGTATGACATAATTTTGGTGCACTGTCTAGAATGGTTGAGCTTCAGTGATATGTATATATCGTGATATGTATATCACCTTTTTCATTTTTGAAGGTACTTGATACTTGAATGGCCCGTTATCACTAGTTGTGCGGGCTCCAGCATAATCACCACGCTTTGGAGATTTGCTGGCTAGACCATTGTGGTGCCCTGAAATCTTAAAGACAGTGTGGCCAAAGTCTGCCCCAGGTCGTCACCGCCACAGGCAGTCGCAGCCCTTGTGGATCAGAGGGAGATTTACCACCATGCGACTTTGATGCCAGGGTGGTGGCGGATCCTGGTATTGGCTCACTCTTAGCTAGGCTTTCTGATGGAAACACCAGACTCCTTTTCAGCTTGGGAGACCCTGCCGGGTGAACGAATCTCCCTGCTGTAGATCGCAATCCTACACCCAGGAATACCTCCCAGCCACGATGAAGAGGTAAACCGTTGGGAGGATTTTTGAAGATGTTTAAATGATTTTAGAAAAATTGTTATGATTTCTTCGTCTTGTCAAGGATTATGTGAAAACTGTTGAATCGATTGCAGTGCTGCTCGTGGGGACACAAGTGGATCTTCGATGGCAAACTTCAAAAGATACCGTGTCCACAGCCAAAGGTAGACAACTCGCATCACAAATCGGAGCTGAGTTCTTCGAATGTTCCGCTCTCACGCAGCACAATCTCAAGGAGGTATTCCATGAAATCAGAATATTTACCCAAAAAACAAAGTACAACTACTCTGCGTCCTACAGATGATTTCTGCCGTGTTGCATGTTATTTTAGGATGGTTAATTGATGCTATACTTCGCCTTGCTGCTTGCCCAAACTTCATAGGGTTGAAATTTATATTTTATAGATTGCTGCGGTTTTAGTTATAATTGTAAAATATTGTGCAAGATGGTCTGGGGCGGCTCACTATTCGTTATTACTCGAAATTGGAGTAACTAGCCACCGACTTGTGTTATCTCCAATGTCGATTTCGGTTGTTTGGCCATAAAAAGCAAACAAGCATTTCAGTGGATATACGTTCCGTCTATTTGCTCTGAGCCAAGCTGTTTACTACTTCTTAGTGAATAAATACATATCTCAGCAATAATGTTGTATAAGTGTGTTTTCATTTCCAGATGTTCGACTCCGCTATTCTTGCAGCGCTAGAAGGAAGGAGAACAATCAAATCATCACGTCCGCAACTGCACAACTCTAAGTTAAAGCAAGGCTTTCATCGAATTATGAGCATAACGAAGAGATTTATCTGATTTCTGCGCCGATACAATGATCAACCAAATACGTTGTCATCCCACTTCTCCATTTTTTCTCATCTCTCTCTTGTACCACAAATTCACTTCACACTCACTACCGCCACCACCACAAAAACATCAAGGTGATAACCTGCTTTAAAAAGTCAATTCGTTTAAAAAAATCGCAATAACTTTCATCCTTTCAATCACCTAAAAATAAAAATTAGCCAAGACAATTGTACATTAAGGGACGTGATTGGGTCGTTGGTTTTTCTTCATCGCTTATATCACCCTAATTCTGCAGCGAAGATAATGCTATCGTCATCGTTAACTCTTTCCTCCTATTTGCTTTCGTCAGCATTTTCAGTCGCTACCTCCTCTCCCTACCAAACATACCCTCTTTCCCCCGTTATTTGTTGAGAGGTCATAGAAACTCATATCATTGGTTGTGAAAATCGCAAGGATGTTCAATTATGCCGAGATGATGAATTAACAAAAAAAGACTTTGAGACTATCATAACAAAAAAAATGTGTGGGGATGGATGAATAGTGACTTTTCTTGGAAACTGCCCACTTAAATTCACTTCCATTTGTCTGACCTCAGTGATACTGTGGTTGAGTCCTTTGATCCTGGTCGTTTCAAAAATTCGTAGAACTACGTCTCATATTACTTCTATAAATGCTTCAACGTGTTGACATATTGTTTCAATGTTGTCTACCATGACCTCCTTATATATCTTCATGTGGATTTTATTGTAACCTCTTTTTTAGCCAAGGAATTCCTCTGCTTCTTGGCGTTTTCGGGTAACCTGAAAAAGCAGTTTACAACATTTTATAGCTACCTTATTGTAGGCATTGCATGGTTAGTTTAAAAGTGTTTTTGAGGGGTTTTTTTTGACATGAGTAAAAAATTTTTATAGTTTAAAAGCTGTAAATAAATTCTAGTTGAAAAGGTCTTGTATTGGAGATGACCTATGATTTTTTAATGTAAACCTCTTCCCACTTAAATTCTTCGAGCTACGTTCTTCCATTGCTGTTGACCAATTTATTGGATCTTAGGGTGAACTTCCCGAATACTTTTGGTTCTATGAGCCGCCAAGTTGAATCACGCGGAGTTTTCTCTATTATGACTTTCAGTGTTTGGTCGGAGGTCAGAAATGTCATTCTACGCGTACGTTGTCCTTAGCTCACNGAACTTCCCGAATACTTTTGGTTCTATGAGCCGCCAAGTTGAATCATGCGGAGTTTTCTCTATTATGACTTTCAGTGTTTGGTCGGAGGTCAGAAATGTCATTCTACGCGTACGTTGTCCTTAGCTCACTCCCGCTTGCACTAAGCCAAGCTGCCTGTCCTTCCGAAGTTAATAAACTTGCAGTGAAGTTGTCTAGGAGGATAAAGATGCTGAGTTATTATATCAGTCAGCCTACGCAAATCAGCAAAAATATCAACGTCGAACAGTCATACAACCACTTCTTCCAGATCTAAGCGCTCTCTAAAGCGCAATCGCCTGCTTTTGTAGTTTCATATATCACTGGAAAGTTCATTCTATGCACTTTCACTTTTTTAATGTAATTGAAATACTAGTTGTGTTTTTGATAATTCTAAAGTTAGAATTTCAAATATCAAAACGGAAATTTCGCCTAATGTAATTCTGGAAATTCAAACTCGTATGCACTTCAGGTAGACGGCTCGGAACATTAATAAGCTAGAACAAGAACAATGTTCTCTCGAGCCTATTCCGCAACGTTGTTTTAGAAAGTTTTTTCATGACTAATTCGATGTCGAAGGTGAGATATGTCGCCGACGTGCAGATGCAGTGACGCCGGTGAACTAGAAGGCTGTAAAAAATATGCGCACAGCTGTTTGAAAATTTGTGGGTGGCCTCTTGAAAGCACCTCAATTTTTTTGAAACATCTACTAATACTCTGAATGTCGAAGATGCTCGACAATTGAGCGTCAACAGTATCGTCGCTACTTCTTCTGAGCAACCAGAACGATTCCGTTTCTTGACCGCATTGTAACCTACGATGAAAAATCAATTTTCTCGGATAACTGGTTGCCATTAGCTCGGTGTTTGTGCTGTGCAGTGCTTCCCAAAGCCGAAATTGCAGCAGAAGAAGGTCACACTCACCGGTCCGTTTTGCTAGTTTACACCTTGTTTGCTACATCACAGTTTTCTAAATCTGTGGTTTCCTGGTGAAACGATTACGAGGGTGAAGAACAGTGGAACAAAAAAAAGGATAAAGCTCTCGGCTTTGATCAATCCTTGCGGAATGCCCTATGCATTCATTTCTCTGACCATTGCACTACACGTGCACAGTGAAGTATATCCTACGATACACGAAATGCACTAGAAACTTCAGCGACTGCACTCCTCATTGGTCAACAGAAAAGGTCTAATACTCCTCCATGTTTGCGCGCTGCAAAGGTCACACTACCAACGCTGCTATGTATGGACGAGCTAGGCTACGGAACTCTGCCTCATTCACCATCCTCGCTAGACCTCTTGCTTACGGTTTCTCACTTTTTCAAGCATATCGACGACTTTCCAACTTTCTGAACCAGAAATACCTCAGCAATCGAGTTGAAGCAAAAATTACCTTTGGCTTTATCGATTCCAAAGCCCCAGAATTAACTGGAATGCATAGAGTTATTTCTTATTGGAAAAAATGTAAAAATTCTAGAGGCATTGAGTACACTTTCAGCTGAGATATGTTATTTTAAAATTAAAGGATAACAGATGAAGCGTTCGGCGTTGATCAGTTCCTGAGAGATACGCCATATATCAGACTTAATCAAGCATCGAAAATGTGATTGAATGCATATTTAACAATTGCCATGGAGTTGTAGCAGCCTGCTGACGTAAAAGTCAGCGCTACTATCCTCTTATGCAACAATGGAAGCAATTTATCGACCCCGAAGAGACAGAAGGCATGGTGAGCTCAGGGGTCGGGATCGAACCAATGATCAGTTGTATTTTCCAGAGCACCTCTAAGCACTGTGTTAAACGCATCCTCACCTCTTTAAAAGCACCTGTTAAAAGTGAACAATAATTTTGGAAAGAAACAGTTTTACGTTTGCAGATACCTTTCTTCGGCTGGAAATTTTGAAAACGTTAATTTCTTTGCCAGAGAGTGGACAGCACAGTAGCAGTGATGTCCGTCATCACGGGGATGGTGCTACTTCGATTCCACTCCGGGCTAACTAAGCCTCTCATCCTTCCGCGGTAGGGAAATTGCTACCGCACTTATCTGGAAAAAAAATCGCTCTCTGTAATCTAATTGGGAACACTCCAGCCCGGCTATCTCAAGACTAGAGGGAGAATTGCTCAACCACCATTTTACGACATTCAAGATGAAATGAAAATCCTCAAGCAGCGATGGAAGCTACTCGTAAAGTTGGGCGATCTTCGTGGACATTGGATGTGAGGAAACGAATCGAATGTGAGAAGTGCTGGCATCTGCATAGTTGAATCAAATAAAATGAAAAATAAAAAAATTTTGCTGCCAATTTTTAAAAGTCCTAAATTTTAGAGGACATATATGTGGTTAACTGCCTTTTCCATAAAATTGTGAAGTTCTTAACTTCTGTAATAGCCTAATTATCGAGAAATTAGCTCCAGCTACCGAAAAACCAGCTGGTCAATGAAAACGAGTTTACCCACTGATTTAATTAAGCTCATTTTATTCTAGTGAGTTCTGCCGATCTTTAATGAATTATGAGTTTCCCTCCTCTAAAATCAACATATCATTAGGAACGCCTCTATAGTTATTCACTTCTAGAAGCAAAAAAGATGGAGCAAGCAGTGCATTTCAAGGACAGACATGTTTTTTATTCGATCTGAGACATTGTGATAAGGAAGTGAATACTACCACAACGTTGCTGAGATATTTGCAAAACTCTGAACCGCAGGTGTCTATGGTGGGGAACGAACGCGCTATTGTCCTTTCCGGGGAGTAACGCGTTCACCACCACACCATACGGGTCCTTTGTTTCGCCTGTCTCTCAGCTATTTCCATCGATCTTTGCCATAGCAATCACCCGTCAGCGGGACTGATCTGGCTGCGGCATAGTAGGCAGAAAATAAAAAGGTGTAACATTGTGATTTCAACTACAGCCGCAGCTTAACTGGGTTCTATGCCGATTTGGGCGCCCCAGATCAATCCCGCTGACGGGTGATTGCTATAGCAAAGATCGATAGAAATAGCTGAGAGCCAGGCGAAACAAAGGACCCGCATGGTGTGGTGGTGAACGCGTTATTCCCCGGAAAGGACAATAGCGCGTTCGTTTTCCACCATAGACACCTGCGGTCCAGAGTTTTGCAAATATCTCAGCAACGTTGTAGTTGTATTTCGCTTAGTACCCTGTCGCGAAATCATAGTAGGCAGAAAATAAAAAGGTATAACGAAGTGAATACTATTCTTTGAAGTAATTCGCAAGACGGGAGTTGATAGCGCAGTGGTAGTGATGCCGGTCATCATGAGCACAATGCTAACTTGAACCTGCACCGTACTCACCGAGCCTGTCATCCATGCAAAACCGTGAAGTTGACACCAGATATGGAGACAGGTCACTCTCTGCAATCCAAGTGCGAACGTTCTACGCCATCTGTCGCAGGACTCCAAAAAGAATCAAGTCGACTTGCATTCAACGACATTTATGTTGAAAGGAAAATCCTCAGATAGCACTCGATGTCATACGTAAAAAGTTAAAAGACCTTCGTGGATGATGGGTGCAAGGAAACGGATCGAATGCAAGAAGTACTGGGATCGGTGCAATAAATCTGAAGACGAAAAGCTTAAAAAATTTCCCACAGGCGACTTTCAATTAACTTCGACTTTGGTCAATAATACGTTGTTTTCTTGCTGAGCACACACGACGTTGTTATTGGACGGCTTCTTACTGACAGCTAACGTTTTGGGAGATTTCTACAACTTCAACAGCAAAATCACAATGCCTCAATTTC